ATTCAACATTTTCGATATAATATTTTCGAAATATAATTTTTTTTATAAATAATCCTATTATACTTAACGAATAATAAATAGATAGTAGAATATTAATTCTATTAAGATATAATAAAGTTTAAGTTCAAAGAATATAATATTAAACTTGAATTAAATACTATTGATTTTTACTCTTCAATATATATTATAATAAAGAATAAAATGTAGATTAAAGTTAATATAAAAGCTACTATTATATTATCAATCATTTTTATTTATATAAAAATAAATATCAAATTATATTAAAATAATATAAAAGTTTATATCTTTTTAAAAAAAATATTAATTTTAGTTTAAATTATACATTACAATTAAAATTAAGATACTAAATTTCTAATCTATAATATTATTGATTAGTATTAATATTATTATGGGGATAATAAAGTCAATATAATACTATAATTCACACTATTATTATATTACTTAAGATTCTAAAAGCTAGGGCTATAAAACATATTACTATAGTGTTGGAAGACGCTAGCGTCAATGCTAGCATAGTCACATAATCCCTGTCCCAATAGAAAGATAAATAAAAAGATTATAAAGATTCTATAATATAATGAGATTTCAAAATAAATAAATAAGTAAGTAAGTAAGTAAGTAAATAAATAAATAAATAAATAAATAAATAAATAAATAAATAAATAAATGAGATTATATAATAATAGATTTAGAAATCGTTTGAAATAACTCTCTAATTTATATTACATTTGAATTAGAAAATTATTTTATATCTTTTCTTATAATCGTCAAATCAATATCTATTCAAATTGAATAATTATTATTATTAGTATAAGAAAAAAAGTATATTAACATAGTTTATTAGTACGTGTACTATATTAGTGTATATACATACTACTCACTTTACATATAAAATTTATCTGTGTGTAATCGTACACTTTCTTTATTTATTAATATAATTTAATTTTTCCTAAAAAATATTATAATTATTTATACGAGTAATAAGAATTTCTAATCAATTATTAGAAATTTGATTTAATATAATAGTTATTATAAAAAAAGTTTTTTGTAACGAAATCGTGACAATTTCAATCTTTTTTTAAAATATGATGAAAATATTTATATAAAAATTAAATTTTTGAATATTTAAATTATAATTTTTATCAAATATTTTGTTCTCTTTCAAAAATAATGATTAATTATTAAAATATAAATATTAAAAAAACCCTGATTTTAGTATAATTTTAAAGTCGTGCACGCACTAATAAACTACGTTATACTTATTTAAATATTTAAAATAATTAATATTAATATTATATAGAATAATCATATCAAATAAACTAATAAGAATTTTTTTTCAAAGGTTTCTATAATAGTTCAAATCTTTTAATATTTAATAATTTTATACAGGATTTCATATATATAAAAAAATATTCTTAAATACAAGAAAAAGAAAAAGAAAAATCTTTTTAAAAACTTTGCTTATTACAAAAAGACCTTGAATAAAATTATTAATATATAAAAATAAAACCTTTATATAATACTTATAGTTATTCAATATAAAAAATAATATCATTAATATCTTAATATAACAGAATTTATAAAAGTAATTCTAAAGTATAATAGAAATTATAATATATTAATATTAATTACACTTTCTTATACTATATAATATATTATTAAGTACTTAAAGAAATTAATAATCCTTAATAATATAAAATATATATTATATTAAAAATCGATACTACAATTTATTTTATACTTATTATATAATTCGTTTTAGATTATTAGTATATTAATATCAACTATATCTTCTTACAATATATAATATATTATTAATATTTTCTATTATAAAGCTTTAAGATTTCCCTATTAAAAGAGTAATAATAATAAAGCAAAATAGAAACAAAAATAATAAGTTTTAAATAGAATTTAATTTAATTAAAGCATTAAAAAGAGAAGATTAAAAAAAATATTTTCTAACATAAGATTGAAATTGAAATTATTAATATTATAAATAGAATTTAAAAAACTTGAGAATTGATAATTTACTTAATACAAAGATATTTTTATAATAAAATAATAATATATTGATTATAAAATATGATATATTAAAAGAAATTAAATAAAAGAAAAAAATAATAATAAAGAAAAATATCAAAGTAAAGAATTATAATGATGAAGAAAAAGTAAATAAAAAGATTAAAGATTCTATAACATAGTAGGATCTTATAATAATAGACTTGAATAAGCTTTAAAAAAAAATTCTTTCTATTTACTTTATATATTTAAATATAATTAAATACAATTAAATATAATTTAATATAATTTAATATAATTCAATATAATTCAATATAATTTAATATAATGAAATATAATGAAATATAGAAAAACACGAAAAAACTAAGGAAAGATTTCCTTGAAAAACCCCATTAATCTTTATTATATTTAAATCAGAATATCACCCTCTATCCCCTCCTAAAGTTATCAAATTAATACCTATCTGAATTAAGGAGATATCATTATTAATATTAGGGAGAAGGGTTTAATATACTTATATTGAAACTATTAATATTAATATTATTAATAATAGATTTACTATATCGAATATAATTGATGAAAGAGATTAAATTATAGATTTCTATAATAATTTAGGCTTTTTAGTACTCAAAAGCTTTATAAGGAGATCTTAATTATAAAGAAAAAGGTTTTTAAATATAGGAAAATAAAAAATGAAAACTTTTTAAAAAACTCTGGTTTTTTTAAGAAATATTTTATAAAAGATATACTAATATAATATTTGATATTCTATCACTATATTTATAACTATTCTATATAATGAAAAGAAAAGTTAAACTTTTTAAAAAACATTTACAATATATTGATTTAAATGTACAACATTTTATATTAATATATAATATTATTATGAAATATTGATTTCAATATTATTTCTTATAGCAAATGATATATTATTAATTATCATTAAAGAAATAGTGACTCTTTAATATAAAGTATATATTATTAAAATAATAGCATTCTAATATTATTATATTTATTATTTTGATTTTGTTTAATTATTTAACTTTACAATATAGTCTTATTCTTTATATTGATAGAGTGGTTTAATAGGTTCTAATATATTATATTTTATATTAATAAGGTAATTTGATAAGAGGAAAGGGAATAAAAGATATTAAGCTTTAAAAAGAAATTATATATTATCGATATATTATAAGAAAAGGTGGATATAAGGCTTAAAAGTAATAAATTAAGAATTATAATAGGATTCCTAAAAGACTCGAAGTATTAAAGGGTAAAGATAATCTTTCGAAAAAGATATAATATTATAATTAATTATAGCTTTTATAATATTTTAAAAGAAGTTGAATAAAAAGAAGGGGATTTTTATAGATATATTAAAGAATTTAATAGAAAAAAGGGTTTTAAATATAATAGATTTATAATATAAACAATTTAAAGGATTTAAAAGAATTGTTTAAAAGATTGCTTATAGATTTTAATAAGGAAGTTTAAAAAAGAATGAGTTTTTATTTCTTTTTCCCATCTATTTTATTTAATTAGAACTATATATAGGCGTATCATATGATCTTAGTATAATTAGATAGACCGAATCGATTATGAATTTACTATTATTATTATTAATGAAATATAATTAAATACAATTAAATATAATGAAATATAATGAAATATAATGAAATATAATGAAATATAATGAAATATAATGAAATATAATGAAATATAATTAAATATAATTAAATACAATTAAATATATATAAATATATTATATAATCAGTATAATAATTAAGCTTAATTATAAATAGATTGAATTAATTAAGATTTTGTTATTATTATAATTAATCTAGCTTAGCTATAGATAGATTGAATTAATTAAGAATTTATTACTACTACTATAGCATAGTTCCAGCCTTTTTCAGCTTTCCACTTGACGAGTATTCTCAGAATTGATAATTATCAAATTTGTTCTATTTTTAATGCTTCGATAGTCTTATTTTCCGAGAGTGTTAAGTTTGTTTGTATGTTTGATCTGATTTGATTCAGTTATGTATATGTATATGTTTACAACTTGAAGTAAACTCATCGCTCCATTGAAACTCATAGATCTGAAGGTTTTAATATTTCTTGATTCATTATCCTAATTTTCCCAACCTATCCTTGACCCCACCCATCCTAATCAATCTCATCGTATCCTATGCCATTCTTGCTCCCTATCACTCTACCTCCCTCACTTTTTCTCCCCTCTCCTCTCCTCTCCCAACTATCATCCCCTATCTACATTACATACAATCTCCGCCTCCCGCTCTCCCCTTTTCATCTCCTAATACCTTCACTAACCCTCCTCTCCCCATCAAATCCCCCTCTCCGTTCGTCTCTCTCTGTCTCTCTCTCTCAAAAAAAAAAGCAACAAGTATGGTATCTCCCAATCTCCCCATCTCCTCACCAAATCAAATCACATCATCTCATCATAAATTCGCTCAATGCAAACACGCACTTGACCCAAACTAAACCAACCCAAACCAAACTAGGTAATCCAGCCAAAGTAAAGCAAAGCGAACGCTCAAATTCGTAAGAAGAAGAAAAACTCCGTTTGCCGATTCCCAATTCTGACCATGACTGCTGAATAAATCCATTATCCAACTCCATATAAACAAGGAATTAAGAAAGATGAGAGCAGCAAGCAAGCAAGCCAACAGGCAAGCAGACAAAAAAACAAGCAATCTGTGCTATTCGTAAAATGCGAATGCCAAGATGATTCATCCAGTTCAGATTAGATCAGGCTAAACCAAACCAGATCAACATCCATTCCCAACGCCTTTCATCTGTCCATTTCATCTGTATGTGCAAATACCATTCTCTACGCAAACATATGCACGTCTTCCTCTCATATATTACCGACTCCATTTCCTCCACTCGCAACATATATGCACCCCCATCCCCCATATCACCCTGTTTACCCCCCACTAATAAACATCCTCATCATCAACCTCCATATCCTCAACCTTCGTTCCCAACGCCATATTCCCCTGTCTAATCAATTCCTTCATCTGCCTATCAAACTTCCTCATCATCTCATCCTGTTCCCTCTCCTCTCTCAATTGTTTCGCCTTCCATGCTTTTGCTTCTCTCGCCGCTGGACTTTCATTGGAATTCGGTCCTGTTTTCGGACTATTCGGTGTCCAACGAGGAATGCGTGATCCGGCTGGTGAAGCCGTACGAGGAATTTGAGAAGAGATAGGTCGAGTGGGAGTGGAATAATTTGTACCACGTTCGTAATTTGATAGAGTAGGTGAGGGATTTAGAACTCGTGGATGACTTTGATAAGTCGGTCTTCGGGTGGCACCCATATTACTTGATGTGATTTGAGGTTGAACCAAATGTCTCCTGGTCGAATTTGATGTGGCGGGTGAATTATATCTAGCAATTCCACTTCTCTGTTGTGACACCCTAGATTTAGGTACTTGAGATTGTGGAATGGCAAATGCATCTGCAGGCACTGGTGGCAATTTTGGATATTGTTGGTTGAGATGATATTCTGGTTGCAGTGCTTGAGATTCTGGTTGAGGTATGTGTTGATATTCAGGTTGCGGTTGTTGTACTACTTGTGGAGGCGGAACAACCACCCAATTTCTTGACATATCATCTGGAGTAGATTGAGCCGTGAAACTAGTCTGACGTCTCTTTGCTGGTCTCGGAGGTGTTGTCTCTTGCTGTGGTGAAACATGATTTCGATCCATATAATTCTCAACCATACCACTCATCGGAAATCCAGCTGGGACCGGTGTACCAGGAGATTTTTCATCCTCCCACATATCATTCTTCGGCTCGTCGGTAAAAGTCGGTTCGATTGGAGTTGTCGATCCAAAAACATAACCATTTCCGCCACCCGCTTGGAATCCTTTAAATGCGACACCCATCTTGCAAAATTCCCACATCTTTCCAACGACACCACCCACCACATTAACCATCGGTTTAATCCATCCACGCTTCTCATCTTCCTTTGGTTGTCCTCGAATTCTCGGTCGTCCATTTTCATCTCGATATAATTGACCTTCTCCCTCGGCTTCGAAAGTTTCCTTTACATCACTTAATTCTCTTCGATATTTGGTATCACCAAAATCACTCTCTCTTCCCATTCCCATTTCCCGATTTTGTCTCTCCGCCTGCGGAGTATCCAAACCTCCTGCCAATCGATATTTGGTATTCACAAAAGGCATGGGACTTCCTGGGGTAGCTAAATTCGAATCACCCTCCTCAAATTGATTTCCTCGCTCGTAACCATATTCATGTGGGAAACTATCTCTCATTCTCTTTCTGCCGACCATTGTACCTCCGGCATTTAACAAATCTGTACTGGTCGTTGATTGTGTGTCGAAGAGATATAGAGAAGAAGTGGCAGATGCTGATGGCGTTGATGGCGGAAGATAAATGTTTGATTTGGAACCTGCAATTGGTACGTCATGTTGAGGAGAAGGAGAATCGAGACCAAAAGTACCCGGCATATTTTCTGACACTGGAAGGGAGTGTAAGAAATAAGACATTGTTTCCTTATCTGTTGCGAAAAATTTGATGGATGAAAATATTGAAAGTTGAAGTTGAAAACCCCAAAGATTGCAGGTCTAATAACTTAATATCAATAAATCCAATGGGATAATACAGCAGCTTCCAAGGCTTATTATTATACGGGACAGATGATGATGAGATGACGATGATGATGATGATGATGATGATGATGATCTATCTAGGTATCTTTTTGTAGATAACCTTCTGATAACTTCCCGAGGCTGAGAGATTTTTGTTTTATATTTTAACGAGGCGTAGGAAATAAGTAAGTTGTGGTAATTCGTAATCGCAATTGGGTGGGTGGGATTTTAGTATTGGTGATGGTATTGGTATCGGTGTCGGTGTCGGGTTGTATTATTAGTATGAATATGAGTATGAATGAGTATTAATAAGGATCAATCAAGATCAATCAAGATCAATCAAGATCAGTATCTCTCAATCAATATCTCTCAATATCAATCAAGTTCAGTATCTCTCAATCAATATCTCTCAATATCAATCAAGTTCAACACCTCTCTCTCAATTCCGAATTCTGAATCAACACCTCTTCGTACTGTATGTCGACCACAGCAGACCACCAAACTCCAAACCTCGTGATAACTCTCCAATATATCTATCCCAAAAGAAATCCTTCTCGCCCCAAATCATCCACACAACACATGTGTGCACATGAATGGAAACCCAACGTTCCTGGACTCCGTATTGTGGATTCTCTACTCGTAGAGGCAAGTGAGTATCCAGAGGCGACAAAATCAAATGAATAAATGGCGAATGATATGGAGAAGATGGATCCGAATGTGTGGAAAAGGTAAACTTGTCCTCTCCGGCTGTACACAGTATTACACAGTACGGATGGATTCCTCGCTTTCTTATTCTTCTTCTTGTTCTTGTTCTTGACGAGGACCCAAAGAAAGAAGAGCAAGAGAAGAAGAAAAGATCCAATCGATCTATGAATGTTTTTTCTTACTTCTGATGGCGGTGAATCTACATAGGTCGGGAATCGGGATCCATACCAAGCTACAGAGTAGAGCTTACAATACCCTGCGTACATATCACTTCATCCCTAATAAGTAGGTACCGCACAGGAATAAGTACATACAGTATACCTACATATAGTATACCTACATACAGTATACCTACATCCTACATACAGTACAATCAACGTTGTCTTGGTTGCTGCACTGGTGCTGTGGTTGCCGTGGTGAATAATCTTTTCATGCGTGAATCTTTCAATATTGACAAATCACGCTTTCATCCAGCCATCCATCCATTCATCCATTTCACCGTTACATCCCGATTTGCCATTACACTTTTACATGTCTTGTTACTATAGGTAGGTAGAAAGAGATGATATGAAACGGGAAGGATCAAGTGGGGCATAGAATCTTTTCCCAGGTATGCATTGCATGTACGTGTGAAGTTAGGGAAATGCAGATGTACTCCGTAATTACGAGAAGACGTATTTATTTATGCATTCATCAATTGCTAGGCGTTACGGAGTATCTGACTCTTCAATGATCACACGGCAATAGAATGCTCATGCTCGTAGAATTCAAACGCTAAAACACCAATTCAAGTACAATATACACACTCAAATCATAGTGCACACTAGCGATGAATGGTTTGAATTTCCCAAACTACCAACTATTATCGATGCTATTATCGGTGCTGCTATCTGCTATCTGCTATCTAACTATCTTTGAAAGTAAACAGAGGTATCATCTATACCACTTCCCAACGCCGTTCATCCCTCAATATCCATCCATTCCCTTGTGTCTAAACTTCCGCAGACTTATTATTCTCCTTTCCTCCATAATATTGATCATGTTGAGCAACTCTCTTCTCATCCGGGTTTCGAAGGTCACTGAACACTTTGTGTTCTCTGCCAGCCCAGAATTCCTCTCTCTCCGCCAAAAGCTCATCAGCCCAAGCCTTCACCTCTGGAAGCACAATCTTTGTAGCAACCCAAGAGAACTCCGCCAAATCCAATCCATTCTTATCCGTGCGCTCATATTCCACCATTTGAAGGATCAATTCTACCTTGTCGACATCGTGAACAAATTTACTTTCCAAAGTCTCCGAATCCTCATATTCTTGCCAGATCTTCTTGATTTCTTCTCCAGTCAATCCACCATTTACGCGTCCGAGGAGATTCTTGGTAAAGTAATCCATGGTGGTAGCTTCGCGTCGATTCTTCTCGATTTTCGGTACGTTGTCAACGGGTGTGATATCTCCAACCAGTGCTTCTGCCATGTCGTGAATGAGAGCCATCTTGGTACAATGTGCAATGTCGATCTTGGAAGAGAGAGATTTGGGTGCGAACATGGTAATGAGTGACATGCGATACATGTGATCGGAAATTGATTCTCCTCTGCGAGAAAGGTTATTAGTTTGATCCAATCTCATTAATAGTTTGTTGGGGCAACTCACCTCTCGATACCAAATCTACGCCATCCCTCACGCTTGGTCGTCTTCAATCTCTCCAACATGTGAAAGAATGGTACTGGTGATTCCGAATTCTCCTTTGGAACGACGGGAAATTCTTCCTTGACTACTTGCTCAACGGACCATGATTGTTGTGCAGCAGCAGCTTCAAGAATCGAAGGCTCTATTAGCTTTGGGTTAGAATGTATCACAAATGTCATGCAGACATATGGTATTTTGATTTGGAGATGGAGATGGGAATTCAAAAGAAGTAGTGCGACTCACCAGCCTGGTTACTTGCTTCGTGGGTGATGGACGACATGTTTCTTTTGTTTCCGTACCCCCCGCGATTGATTGGAATGATTGTGTAGGTATGTATGGATATTCTCCGAATATGCAAGACTGTTGTGTAATGGAATGGTTGTAACTTGTAAGAGAGTGTACAGATTCGAAGAGGAGATGTATCAAAATGTAAATTCAAGAAGAATCGAAAGAGAAAGAAAGTGTGAACTATTTTGAAGAGAAAGATGGTGAGAGATTTGTTTGTAGAAGATGAAGATGAGGTTGAGGTTGAAGTTCAAGCAAACAGATACAGATACAGATTCACCCCACCATCAACACCAGAAGATAGAGTCGATGCCCAACCAACCAGAAATCAGTAATTGTGAATCAATCAATATCTGTAGTTCTGTATGTTGTTGTTGTTGTTGTTGTTGGTGAATATGTAATGACTCTTTTTCGATTGCTTCACTTATTTCCTTTATTCACAAAACTCCAGTGAGTTTATTTCTAGATTTGTTTCCATTCAAGGTGACTTGATAGTTGGAGGTTAAAGAGCTGTATCAATTGATCTCCTCCTTAACTGTCTATTGCTCTACATGACATGTTCTCTGATGATATAACTTCAATCTTCATATTCATCATCTTCTTCATATTCATCTTCATCTTCATCTTCATCTTCATCTTCATCTTCATATCCATCTTCACCGCCAATCTTCAAGTGAACAACATCCAATCCCTTCTTTTGACATCATTATCTTGATACATACCTCCGAAATCTACCTTCTCTGCGTCACCGTGTAGCCATGATAGCCATCTCATTAGGCAGAAGAATCAAAGCTGGAGGTCAAATCCTTCCGACGGAGCTTAACCGCTTGAATGTGAAGATGGGAAAGATACCTGCATAGGCAAGCAAAGTTTATATTCATTCCTGATTGCTTTGCATAAGGTCCATTGTTCTGGTGATTGTGATTTTGATTTAGGCTGCAAGTTACATACTTTCCGCTGGCCAAAATGAGGTCCAAGGTCGAATAGTTCTCTATACTATTCAGAAATTAGTAAACCACTGAAAAGTATTTATGATTCCTTACTTCTGCTCAAGGGAAACCAAACAGTACATCTCTCACATCACACCAGTTCTTCACTTCTCAATTCATCATTTGATCAATATAAAACTTCTACATTTCAATCTATCACTCTAAATACAACATCATGCCTGCCCGTGCCGGAAATCTAAGCAGAGAATATGCGCACCCTATCCACCCCCCTCTTTTAAACATCTTATTTACTCCTTTTTTTCTCCATGATTTCTATCTCTGTATTAAAACTAACTCTTCTGTCATAGTACTCCAGCAAAAGCTCCCGCCAAACCACCAACAGCAAAGATTCCCGCCACAACTGGAAATCGTAGTGCCCCATCCCAACCACCCAAAGTGCCGAAAGTTGCATAGAAGCCGGCAGACCACAAAGTCGAAATGGAACCGAAACAGGAGGAATTGACGAAAGAGGAGATCGAGAAAAAGGAACGAGCACTAAGAAACCTTAAAAAGGCCATGGGAAACTGGGGGGGCGCGCAAAAATACAAGGTGGAAGTGGAAGCAATGTTGCTACTGTTGCAACAAACGCAATGAAGGCTCCGAAGTAGAATTATGTAGGCGAGTAAGAAGCTTCACGTACAAGTAGGGGTGTGTAATCAGGAACTATAGACTGGGGATTTGGAGTTTTCTTTTGGGTATTGGGAATCTGGAATAAAAACTAGAATATGTGCTTCACATCACATACACAAAAAACCGGTATTTGATATACATTTTTTTTTTACATTTCTTTGCTTTCCTATGTTGTGTCTATGTTCTTTTTCCATATATCGTTATCGATCTTTTGAGATATATTCGAGATTGGTGATTAGTTACGATTCCTTATTTGTTTTATAACAGGGAGATACATGATTGAGTATCGGATATTTATATTTATACGAACAAGAGAGTAAAAAAAAAAATGATTAGCAAGTTGCTGATTCACTCATCATATGACTATGAAAATCAATTTCTAGATAACTATAGATAACTATTTCAAAATCACCTATTATACTCAAAACACAGATTCAGAAAATACTCGATGAGATTTAGATTTAAATTTTCTCTCAAAGTGGAAATTTTAATGAATTGTTTATTGAATATAGAATTCAACATAAGTTACTCATGAAATATAATATTATATTATATCTATAAGTACAATA